TAGGTAAGTGCAAAGGATCGACATTGTACTAATTGTATCAAGTGTAGTAATGTGGCAAACTCAGTGAAACCCCTAGGAATTCAAAAGAAATTGCTCTATGAACAGGAAGCAGTAAAAAAAAAATTCATCATGTGTGTCTATTAATTGTAGACTCCTGATCAATTGACTGCCCCTTCCCTATAACACACTTGATGAAATCATGGAATATAAAGGACAGATGATAGAAACAATGGGGTATATGATTTAGCCATTTCAGATGCTGAGTGGTTACATTTATGGGATTGAGGTGTCAGAAATAATGGAATATAAGGGTTTGCTCCTTTCAGACTTGGATTGGCCAGTGACTACTATGTAATAACTTGAATTTCAAAGAAGTCTTTACACTTCCCTATGCCTTTAGGATGAGTATAAAAGCTCTTCAATCGTTGATGGAATTATAGGGTGGCTAGTCATCAACTGGCTGAAGGATTACTCACATCCCTAGTGGTTTTTAAAAAGTAACAGCAAGTTCTGAGAAAAGAGTCATCTCCAGCAGTTGAAATGATGGTCAGTTATGGAGTTAGAATGCAGCTCTAGAGAGCACCTCTTTGAGAGTACATCAGAGGGGAGAAGTGTTTTGTTTTTGTTTTTTTTTCTTCCTTTGGCAATGGAACCTGGCAGCAGGATCATCTAGCCATAAGACACCTAGCTAGGTGGTACAGTGGGTAGAGCACTGGCCCTGGAGTCAGGAGGTCCTGAGTTCAAATGTGACCTGAGATATGTAACACCTACTAGCTGTGTGACCCTGGGCAAGTCACTTAACCCCAACTGCCTCAAAAAAAATTTAAAAAATAAAAAAAGTGGTTTCTTTAAAAAAAAAGCCCAGAAGGGGCTTATCCTCTGCATCCAAGAGTGCAGTTGTGGAGAGGAGTAAGCCCAAAGATGAGAGCAGAGTGACATGCTCAGCAGATATTGCATCTAAGGGAAGCAATGTGAAGAGCACATGACAAGAGAAGACATCAGGGTCTTGTAGTGCCAGAGGCGAAAGTAGCTTTTGACGCATGTATTCCCTACATGTGTGGCTTTCTATTAGTACATTCTATATGCACATGTCAACTCTTCCCACTGGGGCTGTATACATTTGCAGGAAAGTGTGCCTCTGGCTTACGGCAGAAATGTTTTGTTACACTTTCTCATTTCAATAAATGCTTTTGTTTTGAACTAATTGTCTGAACTTGGTAACTTACTGTAAGTCCTCATGAGCTAGTTTTAGGAGTGTGGACCCACAAAGCCTTGGATAGCTGTTCCCTGGGAGAACCAAAGTATGAGAATGAGTACTCCTAGAAGGGGTGCTACACTTACATATGACAAGTAGCCTACTGAGTTAGTTCATGAACATACAGTGCATATATACACATGTATATATATATATATATATATATATATATATATATATATAAATATATGCCCTTTTTTTTGCCAGACCTGTAATTTCTTTAGTATAAAGAATTCCTGATGTGACAACACCTTCTTCCAATGCAGACCAACATATATTTTGCAATATAAAGGCTTGCAGAATTGCCCGAGGGCATTGACAGATTATTTGCCCACAGATCACATAGCTAGTATGTACTAGGGGGTCTTGAACCCTTGTCTGAATTTGGGAAACTGTGCAGTACAGTAATTTCAACCATTCTAAACTATCTGCTGATACAAAAGCCTCTCTTTTTAAAAATACCAATATCCTCCTAATGGATATGGATGTGGCTGTGAGTCATAGAACACCATAATCTTGGAAGAATAAAAATTATGAATCACTCAGCATATTACCAATGATAACTTGTCTGGGATGAACTGTATAAAAGGCATCAGTAATGATTGGAAAAGGCTGCTCAGGTGGTGAGAAATGAGAGATAACAGAACCAAAAGAATGGCTTGAACACATAAAATACATTGATCCTCAATGATGAATTTGAAGAAGGCCATAGTCAGGAACCACACAGCATGAGAAAGCATAGATAGATGCCTTGTCATCCACTTTGCCTACCAGGAGTGGGGGCCTTGAGGCCATATGTGGCCCTCTGGTGCAGCCCTTTGACTGAATTTGACTAACTAATTTTGTTCTGTGAAGTTTGGATTCATGTGGCTTCAAGGCTGCAGGTTCCCCACCCCTGGCCCTAGACTCAATTTTGAGCTTTTACACATATTGTTTCCTAGGCTTCCTGAGAGGAGGTGTGGAATAATACAAAGAGTATTGGAGGTAGAGTCAGAAAACTTGGGTAAGAGGTCAGTTCTGCCACAGTATGGCCTTGCACAAGGCCCTTTTTCCTGTTTGAGGAAGGGCAAGTCTGACTTCATTGAACCTCCATAATACTTGCATTCCCTATCTGACAGAGTTGTGAATAAGGAAATGCTTTTTAAACATTCAGCTGATACAGAAATATAAGTCACCTGTACCTACCTCACAGGTTTGTTATGAAGATTACATGAGATCATATACAGGAAGCATCACAAAGGGAAGTCAAGATAGCAATGATGACAACACATGGGGCACCCTTTGCTCCAAGCTCTGCCAGGACTTCCCGATGACTTTAAAGCTTTCCATTCCTCTCTCCTCCACTAAATCTTCCCTTGCAGTGAAGTGAGTAGCTTCTCCTACCCAAGACTCTTTAGCTTCAGAGCCACCATTGTTAGCTAACCTCTGTTACAGTGTAAAAATGCATTTAATTATTCATGGCCCTGGAGAGGTCTGTTGTGTTACATATTGATTTGTTGTACATCTCTTGGCTTGAATTTCCTTGTTTGTACGTGCTGATGATGTTTGTTTTAGCCATTAAGCTTTTAGGAGACCACTGAACATATCCATTTTACTTGCTTATATAGCTCTCAATGATAAGATGTCATGTCATGTGGAATGGAAGCTTAATAAAACATTATTTGGTAATTATGGTGACTTTCTAATTTTGCTACATCTACAAAGTGTTTGTGTCCATGACTTTTGCAGCTTACTGTAACAACACTGGCAGAAAAGTTAAACTCTGATGGTGAATTTTAAATGTTAATGCGAATTTTATTTGTACTGTGAAGATTTGGATTAAATATTCAGAAACACCTTCAGAGATGTTAAGAATAGTTAATATTTTAAGTAATCTCCCAGTCTATTCTGCTCTTGAAATATTTTTTGAAACATACAGCAAACCCAAGATCCCAAATAATTATCACAGATGCTATGTAGTAAGTTGAGTTGAATTTGGTTTCTTTTACCCCAATACCTAATCACAGGGTATTACTCACACAAGAGAAGCTAGGCAAAGAGGAAATTTTAGTTTTCTAAGGTGTTCTCTGATTCAGGTATCCACAGTAGAGATCTTTAACTTTGTTTCTTTCTTCTAATTCAAGATCATAAGATCACTTATATAGAGTTGGAAGGAAGTCTAGAGATCATTTAGTCCAACTACCCTCATTGTAAAGATATGGAAATTGAGGCTCAGGGCAATGACTCTCCCAGGTTTACAGTAAATGGCAGAGGCAAGATTTGAACTAGGGTCCTTTGACTCAAAAGCCAACATAACCAAGTTGCCATTAAATTGACTGGTCTCTAATTCAGATTTTATATGGCCCCAATTTGAGGTTTGGGGTAGGCCTGTGACACTACAAATAGACCACACCACCTTCCTACAAATCAACCAGCAACTGGATTTGGGAATAGGTGACTGAACATAGTAGATACTTAATAAATTCATTGTATAAATGCTCTTTAGTTCATGATGTGTCATCCTTAGAGGCAAGTATTTTTATTTTTAAAGACAGGAAGAGAAGTGTAGCTTTTTGGACCTTACTGTGATGTTGCTGCTGTGTTTTAGGCAGGGGTGGTGATAATGGGACTGTCTTAAATGTTTGTCCAGAACTTCCCATTGTTAATGTCATAGATACAATGGTTGGGCACATTATTTCTGGCCTCTGCCCAAACCCAGATTTCTCTTTCCTGCCAGGTCCTTTTTTTTTTTTCCAGCCAACTAGTCAGCCCCAGGCGTTGAGAAGCTTCCTGGCCACTCCCAAGTCCTGACCCTATTTTGCTTTCTCCAGTACCCAATGATACCATCTGGCAGAAACATTGAGGGGAAACCTAAACATATGCCTCTGGCCCTGTTTTTCCATCCTCCCACCTTCCCAAAAGGATGTTGCGAAAGAGAAATACATTGGACTCACAACTAGCCCAAAGGCCATATTCTCACACTGTCCGGGATGAGGGTGTGTTGGGAACAGAGTTCTCTTGCCCTCTCCCCTTTATCCCCCCCGGGTGCCAGGCTGAAGCAAACAACAGGATTCCCCTCCCCTGCCAGGCACCCGATTGGCTGAGGGGTGGGCAGCTTCCCCCTCAGCCCGCTAGGCCGGGTTGGTGCCAGCCTATGCCAATTACTAGCGCTGACCCTTTCTCCCCGGCGGCGCTTGTCAAAGTTGATAGCCTGGCGATGAGTTGAAATGGAGAGAATAGCAGCTAGGACGAAGCAAAGGAGGCGGTGGCGGAGGAGGAGGAAGGTGGAAGGACTCTGGCGCTGCAGCAGCTTCTGAACGCCGGCAGTTTTCAGAGTCCGGAAGGGGGGGTCCATCGCCTTCCATCTCCTTCGCGGCGTTAGACCCGAAACGGTCAAGCAAAAAGCCAAGCGGAAAGGCAGGGGGTAGGGTTAGAGGGGCGTGGAGGGACAGCATAGAAGGAGGAGGAAAGGTGGGGGGGGGAGATGCGAGTGGCGCGCCCCTAGCCAGTGCCCGAGAGCACCGCAGCGACCAGAGGTCCGCAGCGGGAGGAGTGGATGCGGTGGGTGGGGGAGTTGGCGAAGGAGGCAGCGCCGACTCTTCGGGGGCTCCCCTGCAGCAGGCAGCGCTGGGAAGTGGGCTGGCCTGGGAGGCTAATCTAGCTTCTCCCCACCTCCTCCTCTTCTTCTTCCTCCTCCTCCAGCTCCTCCCGCAGCTGCCGCTGCTCACTCCCGCCACTCCCCACTCCCCCTTCCCCGCCCGCCTTCCCTTCCTCCTCCCCCACCCCCTTCAGCCCAGAACCAAACCAAACTGAAACCCGGACCCCGATCCGCCTCCCCCGCCCCGCCCGTCCCTCCCCGCGAGCTCTCGACCATGGGCATTTCTGTTTTCACCTTATAAAGATGGCGGTGCGGGATCACTGCAACCTTTAGACTAATGACTGTCCGAAACATCGCCTCCATCTGTAATATGGTGAGTACCAGCCGGCCTGGAGGCTGGTTTGAAGGAATGGGGAGCAAAAGGAATGAAAGAAAGCCCAGTAAGAGCAAACCTCCCCGGGGCCAAGGGCTAGGTGGAGGGTGGGGGTGGGGAGGCGGCCGTCTCCGGGTGAGGTCCGGCGGCGAGAAGGACGAAGGTCTAAAGTGGCCCGAGCAACAGCAGTGGGAGAACCCTTCGTTCCCCAGCCCTCCAGCCTCCCACCCCGGCCGTGCCCGCAGGGTCCCGCCACGCTGCTGCCCCCTCCCGCGCTGAGGCTGAACCGGGCGGGCTCCGAGTGGAGGTGGGCTGGGGGTGGGGCCGAACCTCGGGCTGGCGTCTGGGGGAAACCCCAGCTCTGTGACCCCGCCGCGGGAGAATGCGCGTCTGGAATCCCGACCCTCCTCTCCCCGCCCCCCATGCTCGGGACTGCGTCGTCAAACTGCATTTGAAATGCGTTGGGCATTAGCGGTTTTGAAACATATGCAATATTTTAAAAGTATGCTGCAGAGCTCTGCTTTGGACTTCTGCCTCTGCGCCCTGGTTTGTGAAAAATCACTTCCCCTCCACCAAGGTGCCTCAGTTTTTCCCATCTGTGAACGGGGGGATAATGTTATCTGGAAATCAGTGGCATTTGAAGGCCCTCTGGTCCTAGCTCTCAAAGTGGACTGCGTAATATCATTCACTTGTGGTCCTCCTCATTCTCTAGCTCTTTAACAAATACGGGGGGGGGGTGTAATTGAAAAACAAGTGGAGTTATTGCTTGCCCTAAGGTGGGGTTCGAGTGCTTCTCAACAGTTACTTTAATTTGTGCTTCTCTTCTCCGGTGCTCCCATATCCTTTGCAGATTCTTCAGCGGCAATTTTCCCAAGTCTCTAACCCACCCTATGTGAGTCCCTGTGTGCACGTTGATATCACTGACACCCCTGCTCTGTGTCTCTGCCCTGCAGGATGCCAGCTTGCCCATGGAGTAAGGCAGTCATTCTCAACCTACTAGATGCTGTTCACCTCCAGCATTAGGAACTTCTTCTGGGTGTGCAACTCTATTTGTTTACTCTCCAGTTCCTATCAGGATTCATTCAGCCTTCCTAGGGTGTCTAGGATACTGCTGGGAACCATTGCACCAATTCTTTTAATATCTTTTATTTATTAATCGCCTTATTTTGAAGCTCTATGGAACTGGTAAAACAGGCTTCTAGATGGAATCTGAGGAGGCTTGAATGAGAGTAGCCAAATTAAAAGTGAAACTTCATTTGGAAGCCCCTGAGGTAAGATGATCAGGCCTGCCCTTCCTCCCCTCACCCCCGTCCCAGTTTATCTATTTCACACTTTATAATAACACATGGCAAAGGAGAGTATAGGTGAACACTGCTTTATCTCTAGGATGGAAGAGGGCACATTCTGTTAGGCTAGCTTCAGTGGTGACTGACATTGCTTGTAAAGTGTACCAAAAAGAAACCAGTAATTAGCACAGAGAGAATTATAATTGGTGTGGGACTGTAGGTGCCTTCTTAATTTTCATCTTCCTTCCCTGTCTCAAGGAGATCAGGTCTCCTGGTCTTCTGTATGTGTGTGCATTCATGTATGAGGGAGAAAGAAAATGTTACCTGCCTAGAGTAAAACTGTTATTTCTCTTAGTTTGACTTTTCATTTTAATGGTTCATGGTGGATAATGTTTCAGCCTGGACTGGCAACAGCCTCTCAGTGAATGGTGGTCATGGGAATGAAAGAGAAATTGGCTGTTTCATGGGACCCTGTGAAATGTTCTGGTGGTCTTTCTTGGAGTGTGCCTCTTTGTTGCAGAGCTGTTCTCCACTGGGCATCAAAGGCAGAATGGCAAAGCAAGAAACCAGAGGAGGAAGCTGAGTTAATGTTTTTATGGTTATGGTTTAGGATCTCCCTCACCAGCCCCTTCCATCTTTATTCTTCATGTAGGTAGGGAGAGGCCATGGGCTGTCTTTGGCAGTTGAGAACATGTTTTTGCTGTTCCCTATAAAACTTGAGTCTGTTTCTACTGGCCAATGAATGAAATGTGGGGGGTTACACACTGTGGGCTTGTGGAGTATGTGACAAATGCTCACCTGTCTCCATATCTTCTTACAAAGGGAGCTAATGAGGAATCAGATTTAATGGTCCCCTTTCAATTAAATAAATAATGAACCATAAATGATGAGAGCTAAACCCCTCTGCTCTAATTCTTCCTATACTGCTCAAGCCATTTAGCTTCTCTTGGCTTTACTTTTCTCTGGTGTTGAAATGGAAATTGTGCAGTCTACCTCAGACTCAGTGGCAACAGTTACAAATATAAACAATCTTAAGTGTCTAGTACTTTGCAAAATAGATGCTAATCAAACAAAATAATAATGTCAACAGGAAGGTGGAGTGGAAAATCATGACCACTCCCCCTTTTAAAACACATAAGTAATTTCAGCCCCTCCCTATCTGACTGAGCCAGAGGAGAATGTTTGGTGAGATGAGTTTACTTCTGGCTGGGATGCTGCTTTTTTCATCTGATCAGACATAAATACTCATTGGACTTCACTTTAGGGTTTGCTTTTGATGATGAATTGTTTCCAGGTACGTCTTTTATGGGGCTCCTCCTCCCTTCATTTTTACTCTGGAATCTATTTTTATTAATCCCTATCTTATTCCTTGCCAAGGTGTTTGTTCAGGTCTAGTTTTGGTCTCTGTAACAAATAGCAGGGATAATTGACATTGAAGTTACATTTTTAGACAGGCTGGGTTTGGCACATTCTGAAAAGGCTGATGTGTATTAAGGAAGGATGTAAAAGAATTTCATCTTTTTATTTGAGATTCAGCTAAGACCTGTATTGAGAAGAGGATTTGTTTTCCTGACCATAGTGGGAATATGTAGAGGAGACACAAGAAAATAGCACCCAATATTATTCACGTGATTGAGAAATAAACATTTTTCCTTCTCTGCCCTACACAGTTTAAATATATAATAAATAGAAAACCTCAGATGTTGTTCCAGTCTGTTGGGAGATTAAGGATAGATCTTATTTGTATTAATTTTTTTTTCTCCATTTGTACTCCTGCCATAGCACTTCTTGATAAACTTGCTTAAGGAATGTCACGCTGGCCACAGTGTCTAGTTCAGAGGTAATAAAGCTTGCTTGGCTGGTGTGTTGTAATTTTCAGAATGCATTAGCTGCCAACATATGTTGAAATATCTATGGCTAGTTAAAGAAAGCTTCACTGAATCTTCAGCGTAGTCAGGATCCCCCAAATAGATGAATTGAGCTTTAAAATGTTGACAGATGGAAAATGAGAACCGGAGAACTTTTCAGAAGGAGTAGCTTTTGTTTGGAGAAGTTAAATGACGTTTAAACATGTGACTTTAACAGACACAAGTTGGTTTAAATGTTTCTAATCGCCATTATTGTTGGATTGGTGGTTATAAAATGCTTTCCACAGCCCATAGATATCGTGGTGTGATCGTTTTTTGTTCCTTTCACAAATATATGATGTGCTTTGAATTGATGGCTGTGTGGGATTTAATTATAGTCGATGAAATCTAGAGTTAGAACATAGTCTTAGTTCCCTATACAGCTGGCTTAGGTTATGGTTTAGGGCAAATTACTGTGCTTCCTTCTTAGTCTCAGTTTTTTACCTTGTAAAGCTAACTAAGGAAGCACTTAATATAGACTTCTCTTTGGGAAATAATTAGATACAATTAGGCAAAGGCTTTATAAAAAGATATATTTACTACCTGGTCAGTTAACATTTGTTGAGTGCTTTCCTTATGTAGATCATTATAATATGTTGCATGATGAAGGGGATGGCATTGAATTGAGATAAGAATCCTTGGTTCAGCTTGGCTCTGCCAGGTGTACAAATTTGGCAAATTCCTTCATGTCTCTGGATCTTATTTTCCTCATATGTAAAATGAGAGTATTGGATTAGGTGACTCTTAAAGTCCTTTCCTTTGCCAAGAATTTTTTTAACTGCTTTTTTCTGAATATTAAAAATTTTAGTAATCATTATAGTGTATGTTGTTTCCAATTGACTCTTTAAAAAAGTGGCATTATTGTCTTGAAATTCCATTTTGAATACCCGGTCAGTGAACAGCTGAAACTTAATGAAGTTTTGAAAAATTCCCATATCTAGATGACTTCTTTGGAGGTTTTTCATCCATCTGGACAAATAAATGACTTCTCTGAGGTCATAGTTAGGAAAAGTTTTAAATTTAAGAAGTAGTTTATTTAGTATAGTTAGCTGCTAGTTATCCATGACATTCTTGAAAAAATTAGGAGCCCACTGGAGATCTCTGTGTTCAGTTAATTTGGGAGAATCAGCTACTAATTAGTCTTTTAAGTCAGCATGTGGGGTTTCATCTGCCTAGTTGACTGATTTGAGAAACTGAAACCTGAAAGTAGGTAAAATGGGAGAGTTGTTCCGAAGTTCAAATCTAAAAGGTGAGAATGGAAATTGTGTTAAAGGGAGACTCTTGTGAAATAGATGCAAATCAAATCAAATAACGTAATGAGAGGGAATTACTTCTCTTCCATCAGTTGTCTTTTTCCTCCTTTATTTCCTAGATTCATGAACTCATGATATAAATATTAAGATAGTTTCAACCTTCTTATATTTGAGATGTGGCTAACCATGTCAATGTCATGATATTGAATGTGTACTGTACTTAATTTAAAAAAATCAATAAAACCTTATTCTTGTGGATTTCCCTTCTATGTCATTTGATATTTGCATATGCTCAAAAATAATTCATGTTTATTTCTAATATTCTGTAGTTTAGACTTCATTTTTTCCCCACTCTTGCCTTCCTCCTAATCAATCAGTATTTTAAAAAAAAGTTTTGTCAGTCATATTTATTTTATGTAATATTATCTTTAAAGGGCTTTCTAAGTACTTTATAATTATTATATCCATTTCATAGAAGTAGAAGCAATATCAAATGACTGGCCCAAAGTTATCCAAGTAGTGGTCATTATGCACATTATTACTACATGAAACATTTATTAAGTACTTTCCTCACAAAAAAACTATGAGATAGGTACTATATAAATGACTTTCTCAAGGTCACTCAGTGACCTCACTATATGTTTTCTTCCTAGTTTACCACTCTGGTAAATTCAAATTTTACCATTATAGTTTTGCAACATTCAAGCCTGTAGTTGTGGTGAAGTGAAACAATGTTAGGGTATGGAAAAAGTCCACAGTGATTCCTAATTGCAAGACCTGAACTATTCAGATGAATTAGCAAAGGCATATTTGAGTCTGTCTGAAAAACAAACTAAGCTAACAAGTAGTTGTGAGGTCAGAATGCTTCATACAATTATAGCATTGACTTTTGGGTTCTAATTTAGTTCAAGTTTAGAATTATTTGTTCTGAGTTTTATGGCGAGTCCAAGATGGAATCAGCTTTTAGCCTAATCGAAGGCAGTTTGGATGACCTTAAAAGTTTAAGGTGACTGCTAAAATTCCTTCCAGCTCTAAATTCTTAAAGGTATACCCTGCCTTGCCTGCCACACTTTCTTACTACTATCTCGAAGAACAATTTAGTCCTTCCCAGTGCTTTGTATATATATTAGGCTTTGATAAGTACTTGTTGGATTGTATTTTAAATGAAATGCTGTCTAATCTCTTCTGGCTAAAACACATCCAACTTCAGAACCTTTGAAAGAGAGAGAGAGAGAGAGAGAGAGAGAGAGAGAGAGAGAGAGAGAGAGAGAGAGAGAGTGTGTGTGTGTGTGTGTGTGTGTGTGTGTGTGTGTAAAAGAGGGAAGAGTCCCAAGGATGGGATGAAGGAATGACAACTGAATGGGAAAAAGTACAAGCTGATGTAACAAAAAGATTATCTATGGATCTTAGGACAGAAGTTAGAATATTCCTTGCTAGTCTTTAAAAGAAGGAAGTCCTTATTATTCAAAACCAGATCTCAGTTTAGCTCAGTGTTGTTAATTTCAGAAAGTAACTTTGGTTCAATTAAAATGATAATTCGAGAAAAACGTCTTTTTAGCAGCTTATGAGACATAGAAGTGGATGGCTTGTAGTTTCTTCGACTTTACTCAAAAGCTGTTTGGTGTTCATTTAAGAAGTAAAGTTCAATTATAGTCTTACTTCCACGTAAGTACATTTCTCTTCAGTTGTTTGGTGCAATGTGACTTATCAGTTCCTGCCTGAACACAGATCTGTGAGAAGTACTCTAAGTGTACTTTTTAAAACCTGCACCTTATTTTTCAGAATGTTGTGTTATATTGGAAATTTGTATTCTGGATAGATTGAA